TGTTATGGGAGGTCAGATACCACCTTAAATCTAGCTTTCAGGCCAAATTATAGGCTTCAGTCACATCAACAAGATGATAACATATCTACGAACTTGTTGCCAAAAAAAATTGGTGATTTTAAGTTTAATTCGGTGTCAAACACGTTCATGTGCGATAAGCTCACCAATTATTTTATTATCAAATCAAACTCAGTCGGTAGATAGCGCTCGCCGGTGACGGACGTCTGTTGGTATTGTGACAATTTTGTTTTGTGCGTTTATTCGTTTGTGAGTGCTATGGAGGCTGAAGCTGAATTGTGCCGGTCTTGGGTATGATCCTAAATAATATTGACAGTGTAAATTCATTCTGGTTATCTTAAAATATCACTTATGTGAACATATTTACTGTTATATTGATGTTTGACTTCAATTCAAGGTTGATGTTAGAGGATAAAGGTTCCAACGCATCCTTAGTATGTGTAGTATTAGTAGCAGTTGTAGAAAGTACTTAACTTTGTTATTTTTAACTTTATCTCTCTTGAAATTAGGTTTAAAATCTGCTGAAGAAACTCAGGATTGCTCTATTTGCTGCCGTCTATACCTTCTACGAATAAAATTTTCGGCGTACGTTCGGCTTGTGTATTTTTAAGTTTCATTATATTGTCATATTATACCTCTAATATAATTGTATCTCTTAAATTGTCGTATTTTATAAATCAAATGTGTGAGAAATAAAGAAACGACTTAATGTTTTTTATCATTAGGTATAGGTATCTATTTGATATGCTAATGTATTTAAATAAAACGCTAATCGACTATTAAACATAAGTTTATGTTCTTGTTAAACTATATTAAACGAAGATTATTAATGCTTTAGTACATTTAAGACATAAGTGATATGAAAACAAAACAGATGTTGAATTTCCTTGTATCTTACTAAACACACTTTCGTTTAAAAAAAAAAAATATTGGTTAGGATAGTAAGTATTTATTATAATTGGGTACTTGCTTTAATCAAAGATACATTATTTCAACTGTACAATATAATAGAATATTTAAAAAAAAATACATTTTCATTAATAGATTTTGTGGCTAATTTAATTTTAGTATTTTGCCAGCAAAATTTTTAAGAAATTGAAATAAGTACGCTGTTTGATGCTAAAAAAACATGACGTCACTAAACACAATCTAGTACAAAACTCACAGGAAACTGTCGTTTTTGACAGTTCGAAAAAAGTATTAAATTTGACTAGTTAGTAAGTACCCAATTATCAAGAAACGTTTTTCAATGGTGTCAAATAAACCGGGTAATAATTTACTTTTACATTTTTCGCCATATTATAAATAAGTTAAGTGTGGGAGAGCCATGCTTCGGCACGAATGGGCCGGCTCGACCGGAGTGGTACTACGGCTGAGCAGAAACTGACGTGAAACAACTTTGTGTTGTATTTCGTCGTGTGAGTGCGGTTACCGGAGGCCCGATTACCCTCCCCCCGCCTTTCCCAAATCTCTAAATCCCCAACAATCCTCAAATTCCTAATCCAGAAGGCTGGTAACGGACTTGTAACGCCTCTGGTGTTCCAGGTGTTCATGGGCGACGCCGATTGCTTACCATCAGGTGATCCGTCAGCTCGTTTACCGGGTTATCCCATAAAATAAATTAAAATAAATAAGTAATCATTTTGCTATTAAGTCCAAATCATATTAGGTATCTACTATACGAGTAGGATCTCGTGAAAATAGGTCTAGCAGTTCTTAGTTACATCACGTTTTACATTACTTCTATTAAAAGTTTAGCAGATAGTTATTGCAAGTCAACGACGGCTGTAAATATAGTTTTAATTATTATCATGATAATATGATCAGTGCGATGTTGCCAAATAAATAAATGTATACATATATCTGATATTCTATGTCCATAGACTTTTATCTTAACTATGGTTCAGTGAGATAAGATTAAATCTAAACTTAAGATTTCAAATAAGTAAATGAACCATTATTTGACAGAAAGACTGTAATGTTTTTATAATCAAGTAATAACTTAATTATAGTAAAAGGAAAAATCGAGTAAAGCGAGGAGTTCTTATTACAATTAGTGTGTACTAACTGCGAAGGGTGTAAAGTAAATGAAAAATCTTATTACGTAAAAAATTTTTTTTTCAATTCTTTGTAAATTTGTAAGAAATATAAGGCATTTTTATTTTATTTTATTTATTTATGAAAAGGAAAAATCGAATATTTCGCCTTTATATCTCCGAAGGCTGGCAATACCGCGTGTTAAATATTAATTAACTTTTCTACCAATTAAACTTAATCTTTTATTTACATTTTAAATAATAATAAAATTGTAATTGTAAATGTATCACCACACTAATATTAAATGTGAAAATTTCTTTGTTTGGATGTTTGTGCATCAATCACGCTGAAACTACTGAACGGATTTTGATGCTATTTGGTATACAGGCAGGGTATGAGCTGACATAGGTGATAGGATTTTTATCTAGATTAAATGGTCCCATGGTAAAAACAGGGGTCATATTCTAACGCGGACGAAGTCGCTGGCAACAGCTAGTATAATGTAAACCTAGACCGCAAACACAATTTATAATTTTTTACTCAAGTATATCATTATAAAGTCGCGATCAGTACTTGTAGTTTCGTAAGCGACCGCTAGAGGCACTGATAAATTAGACATAGGTACTGTAAATAATTTCCATCGTCGCTATTGAGAATTATCATCGATATTGCTTAAATATCATGCTAGATGTACAGATAAAAACTGTAAACGAACAAATGACCAATGAATTTGTCGTATTGGGAAGCTCCTCTTTTTTAATGTTGGATGGAAAATCCAACAGAAATTGAGCCCAGTATTTTATGCCATTAGATCTACCCTTAGATGCCCTTGACATTATGATCTACGAATCAAAGGAATATTACAATGTTGTACCTAATATATAAAGACTTAATTCTTGGTTTTCTCAGAAGGGATGTGCAATATGTGCACTCAATACATTCTTGCAAGTCATTTTATTAGTTCTACGTAATAAATAATAACAGCAAAACCGCTTGCTTCGTCTGCATAGTGTTTTGACTAGCTTATTTTTTTTGTAGCTTTAATCAATCCTAATCTTAAAGAACAATAGGTTTTTTTAAGGGGCGAAAATCATCGAATGACTGCTCCCGCCTACGTGAGGCGGGAGGGAGTGTCAGACTCTTACTGACTAAAAACCATCCCGTTCCTTCTTCTGGACGTCGAGCCGGAGCCCCGGTTACCCGTTAGGTTCTCCGCGACAAAGAACAATAGGTTGCGGTCACCGGTGTCCTCGCGGTGTTTGACAGTTGAATATATTCTATAATACGCTAAAAATTAATTATGGACAGTGCAAAAAGACAACGCTTGGAGCTAACCGACCAATAGCTTTTAAAACTTTCATTGAGAAAAACTTTAAACACATATTTAGTTTTGATTGCGACCTTCCGAAATCAAGGTAAAGATAGACATGCATTTACTTCGATTTTTATTATAAGTAAATATTTATAATTTTATTTAATTACCTTAAAGCGAAGATAATTAAAGCTAAGGTCAATATGTTAGGTTTAATGGTGGGTCTTAAATTTACCTACTATTTGATTATATACCTACTTTCCTGTAGGAAATCCTATTTATGTCCTTCGTGTCAATCTGTGCATGTAAAAGAGTAACGAATGAAATTTCTTGCTCGTTCTTTTCCACTCGAATCTACATTTCGGAACGAGCGCCTAGCTTCACTGACGGACAGACTGACAGACTATTATTTATTTCATATTTGTTGACGTTTCTAAAGTACTAAATTGGGTATTTTCCTGGGTCAATTAAATATTCAAAAATAATTACAATTTCATCCACATATTTGACGATATACCTGCTTAATTTAATGTTCTAGCAATTTTTTTAGAAATAAGTGGCTATTTGATTCGAAAATATGATGACGTCATTAGTTAGTTTTTGATACAAAATTCATAGAACAATATCGTTTTTGACATTTCGATAAAAGTATTGAATTTGATTACATGGTTGTAAAATACCATATTATGGTTTCATTGGGGTATCCTAACGGGTTACCGGGGCTCCGGCTCGCAGTGCAGAAGTAGGAACGGGGTGGTATTTAGTCGGTAAGAGTCTGACACTCCCTTCCTCCTCACCCAGGCGGGAGAAGTCATTCGATGATATTCCCCCCTTAAAAAAAATGGTTTAATTGAAAAAAATGCTTTTAAGTTTGAGTTTGTTCTGCGTCTATAGTAACCAGGTGCCACAGTCGGGGTTTCACTGTGTCAGCCTTTTTTTCAACGTCCTTGACTACGCCACGGCTCTCAATCGGTTTTGATAAGAGAGGAAGTACTATGTTCGGATAATTGTTTATTCATGGGATATGGTTCGAAGTGGTTGATTCAGTCCATCGACATATACTAATAGCCTTAGAGATGAGAATTGTGGCACTCAGAAAGAAAGAGAGGAAACGACATTTCGGTCTATCTTTGTCTCTCTCAAAATAGTACCGTAGTTAAGACGTTATGAGTGAGAAAGAGATAGCACTAGGCCGAAAGTATAGGCCATCTCTCTCTTACTCTTTTCAAACCAAAAAATTACTGAAGATTATACGCGTACGGCATGTCCATTAGTATATGTCGATGATTCAGTCCAAGTCAATATTAGTTCCAGCTGACACGGCATCAAACTCTTTTTTGTCAAGGTGAATAATGAAGACATAAATTAAATATTATGCAAGTTTTCCTAGATAGATATGTGTAATATGTTGACGACGATAGTTATTCAATTGTATGAAATTAGCATAGGGATTTCTTTAGGATAATCTCAGGTTTCCAACTTTAGTTTTTTTTTATTTGCGTTTATTGTAGGTAGAGTGCCTTCGACCCAAACGTAATTAGACTCATTTATGTAACAGTCCTTATAATTCAAAAGTCACTCTTACGAAATCTTCCTCAATCCGTTCACTGACTTCGATTTCTGACGTCCACAGATCCGCAGTCACCAGCGAACTCCCTCTGGGTCTCGTGACTTCAAGGAGGCCACCAAACGAGATGCTCTTACACGGCTGGAGGTGGAACTGGAGAGACTTGTGGAGCAAGTCCATGAGACCAGGCGGCCACATGTCGAGAAGGAGTTCAAAGGGTTCAAGAACCTCTTTCGTAGATTCTTAGCTGAACGTAAGTGCATTTTGAAGACGTGTTACGAATGACTATGTAGTTTTTTTTTAACTAGCATTACCGCCTGCTCTGTTGTTGAGGCTTTTAGAAGCACATGGCTATCACACACACTGAGATCTGTAACAACAATTTGTCGATCACACACATAATATTTCCGTACGGGAGTCTAACCACGACAAGTTCCTCAAAGGCCTAGTCTAGTGTCTTCTAAGATTAATAAAAGGATTATGTGTTTTTGCAGATTGTAAATTATTCTTAACTAGCGACCCGCCCCGGCTTCGCACGGGTGCAATATGCATGTATTATACATACAAACCTTCCTTAAGAATCACTCTATCTATTAAAAAAAACCGCATCAAAATCCGTTGCGTAGTTTTAAAGATCTAAGCATACATACGGACATACAGCGAAAGCGACTTTGTTTTATACTATGTATTGATAATAAATAATCAGTCTTAATTATGAATTAATATGCTTTAAAAAACGTTAAAATACTCAATATCGTCTTACAGAGGGCCCCTCAGTCACATGGGAGAAGATTCAGAAGCTACCAGAGGGCGCTGTGATCGACTACTCGTCCCTGACCACGCCCACAACGGACAATGTCCACCGTATGCTGGAAAAGCTGGTGGTCGTCAAGCTCAATGGTGGTCTCGGAACTTCCATGGGATGCAAAGGTCCCAAGTCCGTTATTCAAGTCAGAAACGATTTGACATTTTTGGATCTTACTGTACAACAGATTGAGGTGAGTTTGGCTTGGCACGATGTTTTATAGTGGTATAAGGGCGTTCTTCGACTTTTCGTGGCTTTATTATTAAACATAATATTAATAAATAATGTTTGTTTTTAATATTAAATAATAAACAACAATAATATAATGAGAAAATAGTTACAGACACAGACTGCCTCGATGGCCGAGTGGTCGCAAGTGCGACTGCCGGGCAAGAGGTCTCGGGTTCGATTCCCCGGTCGGGCAAAGTATAACTGGTTTTTTTTTAATCTCAGTAGTAGCACGGAGTCTGGAAATGTGCCCGGTATATGGCAATAGGCTCACCCCCTATTACATGGGACTCATAACATAAATAGTGAAAAGTGGGTGTACTTCTGTGTGCACCTCTGCCTACCCCTTTGGGGATAAAAGGCGTTATGTTATGTAGTTACAGACACCAACTTTGGAAATGTCGCGTGGTTTTCGAAACTATCTTGTGCTTTTTTATATAAATCAGTATAATGACCTTAAATGATTATTTTTTTTATGGCATAAGCTGCTAAACGAGCAGACGGATCACCTGATGGTAAGCAATCGGCGTCGCTCATGGACACCTGAAACACCAGATGCGTTACAAGTGCGTTACCGGATTTTTGGGGATTAGGAGTTTGAGGTTCGTTGGGGATTCAGGGATTGGGGAGATTGGGGAAGGGGAGAATAATTGGGCCTCCGGTAACCTCATTCACACGACGAAACATAACGCAAGCGTTGCTTCACGTCGGTTTTCTGCTTGGCCGTGGTATCACTCCGGTCGAGCCGGCCCATTCATGCCGAAGCATGGCTCTACCACACTTATTATATATCTATTATTTTACTCACATTTACGCATTCTTTACAGCATCTGAACAAAATCTACAAATGCAACGTGCCCCTAGTCCTGATGAACTCATTCAACACGGATGAGGACACGCAGAAGGTGATCCGCAAGTACCAGGGTCTGAAGCTGGAGATCTATACCTTCAACCAGTCCTGCCACCCTCGCGTAAACAGGGAGTCTCTGCTGCCGGTACCACAGCACACTGACGTACACGCGGACATTGAGTCGTGAGTAAAATTCTCTTACACCATTCGGCTTATAGACTATGACTTCTCTTTAAAGAGATCTCTCTCCTACTTGATGTCTATTCTAGTATGGTACTGCTCCATTAGGAACTTATTTTATTCAGCTTCAAAGGGACTACAGAAATGACATGACATGTTCTCGCGGTTGCGTTTCTTGGTAGTGTTTTTTTTTATGGCATAAGCCGGTAAACTAGCAGACGGATCACCTAATGGTAAGCAATCGGCGTCGCCCATGGACATCCGAAATACCAGAGGCGTTACAAGTGCGTTACTGGTATTTTGGAGATTAGGAGTTTGAGGATCGTTGGGGATTCAGGAATTGGGGAGATTGGGGAAGGGAAGGGTAATTGGGCCTCCGGTAACCTCACTCACACGACGAAACACAACGTAAGCGTTGCTTCACGTCGGTTTTTCTGTGAGGCCGTGGTATCACTCCGGTCGAGCCGGCCCATTCGCCGAAGCATGGCTTTCCCTCACTTAAGTGTTTTCGATGACATCCTTATAAGGGCTACCATTTCTTCGAGATGATGATGAGATGGCTCTAATGTAACTTAATGTGGCTGTTTGTCTAACGGTAACCACTAGCTGTGGAATATTGGATGTCCAATGCAGATTCAAGGAACGATTGGGAGCAAAGGAATGGAACAACGAGAGTTTCTTTTTTAATTTTACTATAACTATAACTTTAAAAGAAATATTCCTATTACAACAAGAAACTAAATTGCCTTTTATACGACATACGTTACCAATTAATAAAATAAGTGTATCGGAACATATTTATCAAGAAATGAAAAAGAACAAACGTTAGCGGCTCTGTTTAAGTATTGTCATCGTAATTTGTCTCAATATTCACTAGAATAATCCCCTACTCATTACTTCATTACAGATGGTACCCACCTGGTCACGGTGACTTCTACGAGTCCTTCCACAACTCCGGTCTTCTGCAGAAGTTCATCGGAGAAGGAAGGACCTACTGCTTCATCAGCAACATTGACAACTTGGGTGCCACAGTGGATCTGAACATCCTGAACCTACTTCTTAACCCAGACCCCCAGAAACCGATCTCAGAATTCGTTATGGAGGTGACTGATAAGACCAGAGCTGATGTTAAGGGAGGTACCCTAATCCAGTATGAGGACAAACTAAGACTTCTGGAAATTGCTCAAGTGCCAAAGGAACACGTAGATGACTTTAAGTCCGTCAGTCAGTTCAATTTCTTCAACACAAATAACTTGTGGGCGAAATTGGACGCGATCAAGAGGGTGGTAGACCAAGGATCTCTGAACATGGAGATTATCGTGAATAACAAGCATTTGGCGGATGGTCTGAACGTCATTCAGTTGGAGACGGCCGTAGGAGCAGCCATGAAGTGCTTCGAGGGAGGAATCGGAGTCAACGTGCCAAGGTCACGCTTCTTGCCGGTCAAAAAGACATCTGACCTCTTACTAGTGATGTCCAACTTGTACAGCTTGTCACATGGGTCTCTAGTGATGTCCCCACAGCGAATGTTCCCATCGACTCCGTTAGTGAAATTGGGTGACAACCATTTTGCCAAAGTGAAAGAGTTCTTGAACAGATTCGCGACGATACCTGATCTGATCGAGTTGGACCATCTGACTGTGTCTGGCGACGTCACGTTTGGCAGAGGAGTCTCTTTGAAGGTCAGTTGAAATTGATATCTTGCTTACTTGTATGATATGGACGACGTAAATTACTTTTATTAATGGATACTGTTTTTCGAAATAATCGATAAATATACCAAAATCTAGAAACCAAATGAGTAGATAATTTTTTGTTTGACTTTAAGAAAATAGGAGATGAGCCCATGTCTTCGTGGTCAGCAATGACAATTAAAGTTGAAAAAATAGACTGCTCATTGTCCACAAATAATATAGCCTATATGGCTTTCCTATAACTTTTTTTTTTCATTTCACAGGGCACAGTAATCATCATCGCGAACCATGGAGATCGTATCGACATACCATCAGGAGCGGTTCTGGAGAACAAGATCGTATCCGGAAACCTTCGCATCCTGGATCATTAAAGTCAATATCAGGTACTGAACATCATCACGATTACATCACATCATAATGAGCTAAGTTAAGCTATGCTCCACCGGTACCCACGTCAAGAGGAAAGGGATAGCGCGATTTACCTCCGTATAATAGTCCCTGGTACTTAACTTGAGATGATTTTCTTGTGACGGGAGTAAGTTCGTGTGGCCCGGAATTATGTTGCCGGCCTTCTTGGTATTTGAGGATTGAAAGAGGGTGGGGGAGAGGTCTTTTGGCCTTCGGTAGCTTCACTCACACGGCGAAACACGACGTTGTTTCACGTCGGTTTTCTGTGAGGTCGTGTGTGACTCCGGCCCATCCGTGCTAAAGCATGGTTCTCCCACTGTTTAATTCCTATTATTTATGCTTAAAATAAATTTTGAGTAAGTAAGGGTTGAGTTAAAAGTAAACTGAGAAAGTACAGACGACGAACTTACCCCCACCACGACAAAATCTTGCCAGGCTACTTGCCGGGTATTATATCTCCATCCTTGTCACACAAAGTGAAATTATTCTGGAATGGAAATTATGGTATATAGTGAGGAAGGGACTGTACCCATTCCGAGGTAAACAATACTTTTTTATTGGATAATATACATGTAATGGAATTTTTAAAAGTTTTCAGTCAAATCAAAGATTTTTCAATGACATTCTAGGTGTTATAATGTAGATATTGTTATGAAATAATGAATTTATTTTTGATTAATATTTATTATTACGTTTAAAACGACTTGTTATTTTGTTCTATGTTCGAAGTTGAGCCTAAATTCTATTTTTTATTTATAATCTATAGAAAGATTTTTTTTAATAAGTGTTTTTGTAAAAGTTGTACGTATTAGAAAATATATTTTTTTGCTTAATTTTTTCCTTTGTAATTTATACACATTTTTATTTTTGTAAAAAGTTTGTAATGTTTTAATTTTTGTGCAATTTTTGTGTAATTGCAGGGTTGTATTTTCAAAACAACATTTGTTTTAACAAAATTATAAAATTACGGATTTTATAAAACTTATTTATTAATGAATCTATTGCGTTTTTATCGTTATTTGGCGAAAAATGTATCTTTCTTATTTTTCATATTTTTGAATATTTTATCTATTAGTGAATAACTTTTAGAATTTTTTACATATAAAAAATTGCCATTTTGTAATTATGGCAGCCTTAAAAATATTAAATATATTATTGATTTGCTTGTAAAATTCTACATGGTAGAACAACGATTTTCTTATACTTATCATATTTGTAATATATACAAAATAATCGCTTTAAATACGGGTACGGAACTGGAGTCCGTGGGTTCAATGGACTGATAGAAGTCTTTACAATTTTTATAATAACTAATATTTACCCCAATTGTGTATGACGTAATAAACTACATTACCTATATTAATAAAACAATGTGATATTTTGGTATCCGCTAGATGGCGTTTATGTTGCATATAGTCATGTACGACTAATCACAAAAGCATTTTATGGTATATGGTCGGCAAACGTGGACCCAGAACACTAGAGAAGGGGAAGGGGGAATGGGGAAGGGGAGCTTTTGGAGATGAGAGCGGGGAGGGGGAGGAGGGAAGGGTAGGGGATTCGTTAACTGTCACTGTGGACGATGTGTAATAAGTAACTGTCAAATGACTTAACATTACCAAGTATTCTGTTTGTCATGTCAGATTTAAGCGACATTAGCGCCTCTAGCGGTGAAAATGTCACCATTGTTTTCATAAAAATTCTGATAACCATAAATGTTTTTTAAATTAACTGTCGTGTGTAACTATCTGCCGAGGATGTTGAAAAATAGGCGAATAAAATTCAATTGGAAATTATTGAAGCACAACAATGTCAGTGGTTTATTTATGTGTGCGTTACCAGACTTAAGACAATGTCCGATGTCCTTCGTGACAATGTGTGTGTGTCTGCGTGTAAGTGTATAGTAGCCAGGTGCCACAGTCGTTATTTCAAGAGAGTGTGTCCGCCATTTTTCAATGTCCTTGCTACCTGCCATATTCAGAGACATTACTTAAACTATGCACTATTTGACCGCACGGTTGGCGCAGTGGTTGAACAACTGGCTGGTTCGATTCCCGCACGGAACATTTCTTTGTGTGATCCACAGATTATTGTTCCTGGTCTGGGTGTCATGTGTATGTGAAATTGTATGTTTGTAAACGCACCCACGATACGAGCGAAAATCTTAGTGTGGGGTAAAGTTCTATTAAAAAACAAATAGAACTTGATATTGTTTTGAAAACAATTTGCTTAGTACTGCGTTAAGTACCCATTAAACTGTCAAATACCAAGCGGTCACCGGTGACCGCAACCTATTGTTCTATAATTGTGTCTGCAAAACCGGTACTCGACGAGTTAACACGTTAAACGCCATGGGGGTCACCGGTGACCGGCGTTAGTGGAGGATTTACCTTCAACAGTTTTTTATTGGCAGTCAAAGTCTTAACGGCCGTTTCTTATAACAAACTATCTGTAGATTTGCTTACTTAGATAGAATTTTGACACATTTTGTATGGAGCTCAGTAAGCAAATCTACAGATAGATAGGTATAGAAAATGGCCATAAATGACTCTGTGTACGGCAGTTAGACATTATTGTAAGGCTAAGGACTGACAGCGCGATCGTCTGCCGCGGCCGCGCGGGCGACACGGGCGGGTAAACAACCTGGTGCGGACCGCCCCGCCGCCCGCCGCCCTCCGCCCTCCGCCCGCCCCCGCACAGCGCGCCACTACTGGCCGCGGCGAACATCACGCCTTTTATCCCCGAAGGGGTAGGCAAAGGTACACATTATACCACTGTACAATGTAACACCCACTTTTCACTATTTTTGTTATGAGTCCCATGTAATAGTGGGTGAGCCTATTGCCATATACCGGGCACAATTCCAGACTCCGTGCTACTACTGAGAATATTTAAAAAACCTAGTAATACTTTGCCCGACCCGGGAATCGAACCCGAGACCCCTTGCACGGCAGACGCACTTATGACTACTCGGCCAACGAGGCAGTCATTGTACATACATACTGTACAAAGACTGCGGTCCGGCAACCGCGGGAGAAAATCGCGCCGTGAATCCCTAGCCCAAATAGGTTAATATACTTATAATATGCAAGCAATATTGCATTCTCAACGTAATAATTATTCAATAATCATTTTAAGGTATTCAATAATACACTTTTAATATATCGTGAAAAAGTTTATTTTACAGTGATTTGATACATATCTTTTGCTTTGTTAAAATAGTCAAAATTTGTTTTTATTTATGATACATTTGATAATAAACCGTAATACTAGGACTTTTAAAGTTAAAATTCGTTTAATATTACATTGATACTGAAGTAATTTGCTGTGTATTGCAAATTGAACTTTAAAGTCGTCGTGTTACGGTTAATTTTGCTGTATGAGTAGAGTATCGTACAATTAGATAATAGTTGTCTTAGTGTAAGATTTAGTGCCATTACCCATGTAGGTAAACTGTTGTAATAAATATAATTATGATTTATTCAACAATATGTTTTATTTTCTACACCTTAAAGAACAAAATTAAAAAACGATCTTTAGATCCTTAGGTACTATTTAATGAAGTTAAAACTTTACAGAATTTCCTGAGGCTTTAGTACGAGTTTGTTTTACATTAAAAATAATTGAAACGATTACGCGTTCGGCGTTCTGATTGGCCGGCTCCGATGATCCAACCAATCACAGCGCAGAACGCGTATAACACGTATAACAAACTCGTACTGAGGCCTGCCTCTATTATTCCTGTACCCGCAGGAATGTTACCTACCCTTTATGTATGTACAACATTCTTAAAATCTAAATGGTATGTACCTATGTCATGTATATTTACATTAATATTTTCTAAATCACTTCGTTAGTCATATAGTACACGTTCCACGTGTGAGCCTGAGCCGTGCTTCGGCAGGAATGGGTCGACCGGTCGACTCGACCGCAGTTATACCACGGCTTCATAGAAAGCCGGCGTGAAATTACAAGGCTAAAATATCAACAACACTCTTATGCCCCAATCTTCCCCCTCGTCCCAAATCCCCAAATCCCTAAAAGGCCGATAACGCACTTATACCTTCTCTGGTGCTGCGGGTATCCATAGGCGGCACCCATTGCTTAGGCACCATTATCGCATCGCCTTCCTATTCCATACATTTTTTTTATAGTGACTTTGGTTTTTATGTCCGAACGACACTTCCTTGCGCATTGCCTACTATAGATTTATTATTATATTGTCTCTGAATATTCCCTATTGTGTGTCTGATCATAATTCAGTGGTTGGCTCATCCATATCAGGTTGCATCTTGCTGGAGATGAAGCTGCCGGCGGCTGACAGCGCAGTCAGTAGTGTGCTGGCGCCGCCCGCGATCCATATCGTGGACGCGTGCAGTAGACACCCGCCGTTTGATGAGTACACACATGTCATGTCTGTGGAGATAAAGTAATAGGAATGAGTTTTTAAACTGTCAAACACCAAGCGGTCACCGGTGACCGCAACCTATTGTTCTATAATTGTGTCTACAAAACCGGTACTCGACGAGTTAAATGCAACAAAATTAATTAGCTTATGCACGTTACTATTCGACGAAGGCACTCGACTAGTTTCCAACGACTCCCGGGGCCCATTAACATGCTTGACAACGCGATGAACGTCGCGTGTCTCTCAAAGTCGCTTATAGGCATAGGTATAGCCATGGTTAGGTACTTACGACTAATAAACAAGTAGATTAAATGTCCTAGTATAAAGGACAGCAGTGCCACTATCGCCATGCTGGTACCCACGGCGGTGGCCTTGTCTATCGGCCGCACAGCTCTCAGCACCGCCATACCTTGCATCAGGAAACAGGCCGCTGGAAATAGGAATTTCTTTAGTCATACTCTACGGTTAAGCTATAACTTGAGATAAAATAGAAAACATATTGTCTCATATTCCAGGTTAATGATTGCAGGAAAATAAAATTAGGTATCCCTTTCTAGATTCGTATACAAAGGTCCGCTACTAGTCTTTGAGCCTCCTCTAGATAAGAGGATATCCGATAATTTTCACGTTTAGTCAAACGAGATGGTTCAGGTTTATCATTGAACGCTGCTGTCCATCTATATATCTAACTAATCCGCGTGAAGCATAAGGACGGTGACATTATCGACCATTCCACAAACCTTTTTAACTATCAAAAGGTAATAGTGAGGTGAGGATACTGACCAGCTACTGCCAACATGACGGTGAACACGATCTGATACGCGTTGTACGGCAGCATGCACGACGTCAGCGAGCACGCGCCGCGTGCAGCGCGCATCGTGCCTAGACTGCACTCGCAATTGTTAAACAATCTGTAATAAAATGTTTCTAATGTAACACCAGTCTTAGGATTAACTGAAGTCATAACTTAAACGATGGATCATTCCTCTGGTAACTTTCATTCACTTGGTGAAACGCTACGTAAGTTGAGTTAATTCGTACCAATTTTTTTTTATTGCGGGGATGCAGGTGGCGTGTTTATGTTCGACGTGAAGTATTAAGGGGGAGGCCTATGTCCAGCAGTGGACGTCTTCCGGCTAGTTGATGATTATGACCATTGATCATTATGATACCAGTTTTGTTTGAAGCCGTGCCGTTGTTTTACTTCAGTCGACTCCGTCTAATTGTGCCAAACACGACACTTACACTTGAATTTCTAGATCACCCTGTATTTTGTGGTTGGATATTGGATACTTACAGAACGCCGTTGAGGTCTTCTGACTGCGTACAGCCGGCGTGACATGGAGAGAAGTAAGTGCGCTTGGTGTCCAGCAAACACACTGGGCTGAAGCCGTACCGCTCTGTGCTGCACCTGGAAACGTAGATCAAATCATAATTATTATGATATTTTTAAGCATTCGAAGATGGTTTGAAGTGGAAGGCTTAGACACTGTCATCGGTAATGATCATTTACTTAAACAGAAGTCATTTTCTTTTATTCCTTTGATCCTGGATGTTATTTCTGGCTACTTGACCGTGTGTTATGGCCAGTGCAGTAGACATCATTATGATTTTTTATTCATTAGGTAGGTACTGCGCAAGTCCATAACAAAGTAAACAGCTGATGTAAATCCTCACCCAATTACCCTTACCCTCATCGCGTTACATCAAATTATAGCAGTTCTGCTTAAGTCCTCTACATACCCGCAAGATTGGCTGCAGGTAGGCTGGTAGTAGCTTCCAGTCCGAAGTCCGCTGATTGTGTCAGTATTACAGCTGAGAACAGTCAGCACTATGTAGAATGCAGTCACAAATATGGCGACCACCGCTGCTACTCTTGAGGCCGTGTTCGCTTTCACTCCGTCTGGTCTTCGCGCTGAGAAACGGATCTTGAATATCTATAGAAGAAAATAAGTTTTAATGTCTATCAGTAAACTTAAGCTACATTTTAGTATGTTTCATTTTGACTGAAAGAACCCTTGTTGTAAAAACGATATTCAATTTTCGCCAACAAACTGTCGACAATTTGGCGATGCTTAGTAATAAGTTAAATGCATGTATCTGTAAATGAATAAATGATTTAAAAAATCACCATTTTTGAACTAATTTGGATAACTACTTTTATAGAAGAACGAAGAGATAAAAAGGCGAATGATAAAAGATAGACAGGAGTTAAGAAACCTTACCATAACAAAAATAATGATGAACAGCGTCCGGAAGATACTCGAGAGCCCTCCTGAAGTCCGTGGGTCCTTTGTGTCCACGTGAAACTTTGCCTGAATGAGATGGAAATGGTTACATTAATTACATTATTTTCTGTACTTAATATTTAAAATTAAGTTAGATTTTATCTCGGATCTTGTAGTGTTAATTTTTAAAGTGATCTACAGTGAGCTTGAACCTTTGAGTAGGTACCGTCATTATAGACACAGTTAAAGAACAATAGTTGCGGTCACCGGTGTCCTATCGGTGTTTGACAGTTTAAATGCACTTCTTTAAGGACTTTTTTTTCTGATTAGAAAGAAATTGGTTTTGGAAAAATGCTTGTAGTACCTACCTGCACATATGCATCGTCATAGTGTACGAACACCAGTACTGCGGTACTTAAACAGGAGAGCGCTACAATTTGCATCATCAGCGCCTTATTGTGAAGCAGTCGTCGAAGAGTTGGGAGCAATCCTGGACAAGAGAGCTTATTTATAACATGAACTATACGTCACACTATTATTTCAGCCTTGCACTTGCTAACTGTCAACTTCCTCAACAAAATTTTAGCTACCATAACAAAATTTATATTTTCCTAATTATCTATGTAAAAATGAAAATTAAAGCAATATTTTCTCGACTAAAATTAGACTTACATCCCAACTTGTGAAATCTACTTTTACCTACTTGGGCTACTTGATAGCAGAATGATGCAAACACATACCGGTATCAACATAAGAGTCTTCCAGTTCATCCATCTCTTTGGAAGATACCATTCTCTTGGGGAACAGGCTGAAGAGGAACGAGAACATGAAGGTCAGCATGCAGATGGAGAGGTGAGCCTCCCACCATTTGTCCCTCTCAGAGGTCGGCTCCAGCCAGGAGCCTGCATTCATGCCCAAACTTAGGCGAATGGAGATCAGGTTACCTGGAAGAGAATAGTATAGGAATAACTTATAATAAAGCACTGATGAATGGTTTGGGTGATCTGAAGGAGGATAAGATTAGCTGAAGACTCAAGACAATGCTGTAGCTATTAAATTAATAAAAGGCGGTGATGCGACGTTGAGGCGGTAGTCCTATGGTGTTGCGTGTATCCATGGCATGGGTGGTGTTAATCGCGCTAGCATCAGGTGATTGGTGTGCTCGTTTGTCCATCCCATGAGCAAAAGATGATGGTGATCAGATGGTAGAGAGAGACACCATATTGGTACTTGCACATGTGTGATAGCGATAAAATGTAGTGTGTGTATCTAAGTAAGGATTAGTAAGCGGATGGTGCCATCACTTATTGACGTTGATAAACATAATGGAAATGGACGGATTACGAATTAGATGGACATTGAAAGACTATAAATGCAACTTGATCCTCATTAAGTAACTTTTTATAGAGCACTCAGAACGTCTTACCGTAAAAGTACGATCCATTCGTAGGATCATGGTCATCTAAGTACGTAATACCATGTGACCAGACGCTGACCCTGGCCAGTCCACAGAGTATCACTGTGATGATCAGGATTGTTGTTCTAGCTATTAGATTGCTATCGTAGTTGCTGACTGCTCCGTGCGTCTCGTGGACGTCACATAACTCTGGAAGAAGGGAAATTTAGTTCAAAAAATGTTATCGGAGTGGGTGGTCTAGTAATATTAATAAGTAGTTTTTTTTTAAAACCTTTGTTTAAGCCTTTGACTGCCGACAGAATACTGCTGAAGGCAAATCCTCCGCTAACCTAGGTCACCTAACTACTTTTTTACTAATTTTTTAGCTTTAGTATAGTAGTCTGCTTTCCTACTACGGACATCCTCGAGTATTTAATCAAGATCTCACCCATGCCAGCAGGATTTGACCTTGCGAACGGGAAAGCGAGCACGAGGAGTCCTGCTGCGGAGCATACAGCTAGCCAGCCGGAGAATGCGAATTGCCTCTTGCCTTTTCCCCACCAGGCTACTGCAGCACCCAGGAGAAACTCCACCCCAGCCACCGCCATCATCACGTAATCTGGAACATTTTATATTGACTAATGTAGATTGAGTACCCCTAGCCTAGAAAATCACCACTTACTTATTTGGTTATGTCAGTTTAGTAAACCCTTTGCAGTCAGGAAATTTGGCGGTACTAAACTTATCGATGGAATTACCGTCCCTCCAGAATGACAGTGAGAGAACAGAGAAATAAGTACACATTAATACTATTATAATATCTCCTGTGTCGTTGCTAGTCTCTATATAGAGTGGTCTTTTGTTATTAGTTGGTGATTACCTTGAATAAGCATCGAGTGATGACCTTCCTTGGCGTCTCTCTTGAGCAGCAGGTAGGTGTTAGTCTCCAGCAGGATGATGATGAGGTAGGCTCCCTGCAGGAACAGGTCGAACACCTTCAGTCTTAGGATGTACGTCCTCAGGAAGTACCATAGCTTGTGGAATACTGCGGATGTGATGTAGAACATGTTTCAGTACTTAGGAAGCTGTTCTTAAATGCTCTAGCCACTTTTCACATGGCGTCGTTTTGGAAGAATATCATTAGTCAACGACGATAAATATTGAAATTGTTTCTAAGTAGTTTTGTTTTTGAACTAGACGTGTCTTACGCTGATGAGTATGCATCTTGTGCGAATGGCCTAGCATTTAATTGGTTATCTACACCAACCCCTATGTTTAGTAGATAGGTAGGCAAAAAGAGGTATAATTGTAAGTAGGTAGGTAAATATGTAGATCGGTGTTGCTACAGTAATTTGCATATATAGGTAGCTCCGCAAGGGGCTAGTAGGCAACACACTACATAACAGAATTATCATAGAGTTATCTTATAAGCCGATTACTTTAATTATGTAGATGCTTAGGGTTATATCCTATCGTAGAAAATTATAAAATAACGTGACTTAAAAAGTACTGAATGAAGAACCGACTACCTCGTTGACCGAGTGGTAGGAAGTGCGACTGCTGGATAAGAGGTCTCAGGTTCGATTCTCGGGTCGGGCAAGTAATACTTAATGGTTGTTTTTTTTTAATTGTCAGTTGTAGCACGGAGTCTGGAAATGTGCCCGGTATATGGCAATAGGCTCACCCCTATTACATGGGACGCATAACATGAATAGTGAAAAGTTGGTGTTACACTGTACAGTGGCATCAAGTGCCGCAATGTGGACCTCTACCTATTATTTCAGGGATAAATGGCGCGATGCTATGTTACACCTCACACATACAATCGTATACGTATTATATAAACAATTGCATACTAGTGTGTCCCTACAGTAACCTATGAAATGGGAGCATATTGTTGTAAATGGAATATGTTTTTAACCGACATAAAAAAGAGAAGGTGGATAGATTTAGACTGTCGTAAGATTTCATAAACTAAATAAAAAAATAATAGTAAAGTTTTCACTAGTGAAAAGTAGGTGTCTAATCGTGTAATCTGTAATATGCACCTCTGCCTACGCCTTCGGGGTTTCACGCATGACTTTATGCGCCTGCCGTACGACGAGTGGTATGGGAAATAACGAGGCAAGGAAGCAGAGACATAGTGTGGCAACATCACTCGTCATGCCACACGTCATGCTCCCCGTCCTGCCCACTGCTCCCTATTTTGTTTGTATTTTTTATGGCATAAGCCGGTAAACGACTAGAATGGATCACCTGATGGTAAGCAATCAGCGTCGCCCATTGACACCTGGAACACCAGAGGCGTTACAAGTGCGTTACCTGCCTTTTGGGGATTAGGAGTTTGAGGATCTTTGGGGATTCAGAAATTGGGGAGATTTGGGAAGGGGAGGGTAATTGGGCCTCCCGTAACCTTACTCACACGATGAAACACAACGCCAGCGTTGCTTCACGTCGGTGTTCTGTGAGGCTGTGGTATTACTCCGGTCGAGCCGGCCCATTCGTGCCGAAGCATGGCTCTCCCACACTTTAAAATTTTATTTGATTAATTGCGCGAGTAGAACAATGTGTGGGTAGAGAGGGCAACATCGCGGCTAATCACGGCAGTGCCCTAGCTGAGGAGCATAGCGATGAGCAGCGCAAGCAGCATAGTCTGGTAGGCGCATTATGTTGTATAGACAGAACCCCTTTTTCTTATATTCTAGTTACCTAATTACCTACTCGTGTCCATTCACGTGTATGGTATTTAATTATCATAATTAATTATTCTATCTAAGTGATAATTGGTGATCACATAAATACTCACATACGCGTGTTAGTAGATAAATACCGGGTAATTATCCGGATAGCTTATTATCGGAATTTGCGTTGTTTTTTAGTGCAAATTTTTCTCGTCACTTAAGGACGTTAAACTCTAATACACTATTACACATTTCAATATCCGATAGAAGACAGAAGACCTAATTTTGATGTAGCACACAGTTCTTCTATTTCCAGATTCCGAGTTATAAATGAGAATTGAAAAAACTGAACAATCCGATAGTATTTTTCAAGATCACGGTCGATTCAATAATCGACCCGGGACCCATTGTTCGGCAGTCACACTCTTGTAACTAACAAATACAATTTTAAGGATTTTGACTCAAAATAATGAAATTGATATGCATGCTTATCTACTTATCTATGTTTCATTTTTATTTTTCCTTATGGGTGTAATAATTATATGCTTGGTAGCATCAATTGCAATAATCTGGTCCTCAATAGGCAAGACAACAAAGCACTGCCTATCAGTTTTTTAAACGATGATTTTTGCAGACTTTATTTTGTTGTAGGATTATGGTAAAAATACGGCAATAGGTCCCTATTATATGAGCCTCATAACAGAATTTTTGAAAAATTGGTGTTAGGGGTTACCTTTGTACTCAATGTGTGTAAAATTTAAAATACTTACTCGTTTTTCCTGGCAACGACATGTTGTTCAAATAAAACGCTATAAAAAGCTTCTTAACTAATTAGAGATCCCAAACTGAGTCTTCGTTACTTTCGACTTGACGTCAAAACGAGTGCCAAAAACCCGTTATCCAAAATAAAAATATGCAAAAAATATACGGTCAATAGTTGATCAACACAAAACACATTTGAGTATTAACACTTGAATTTTGAGTCATATTTGATTTTTTGTTTGCAATAATCACTTTTAAAAACACTAGAACTGATCTTGATTTAATTTAAAAACAAATGAATGTTTACTTTTCATATCTAACACTTTCTTTTCGTAGTAAATAAAGAAGAAACAAATGCCTAGATTCTCTACACGTGATCTCACAGTAACAATACGAAATGCTTTAGTTTATTGTCAACCCAAAACCATTATCAGATAAATGATAACACGTTTCATCGTCATACCACAATATCTAAAATATTACTTTATTTCTGTTCCGTAACGATAAGGTATCAAACATACCGTAAATGTACCGGAAAAAAGTTAAAATCTATTATTGTTTATATTAACTAGGTTAGGAAGATAGGCTACCTAGATTAAACTAGATTTAGAAACATTTATCTAAAACCTATTTTTTCATAAGAATTAACATTTATTTTGTTAATGGTACCTAATTATAACTTTCTCTATTAGATTCATCATTGACAGTTTATGACAGTCAACTGCTATCAAGTAGATAATTAGAATGGAATTCAAATAGGAATCTTCTTATGTAGAGAACAATTTTCTTCTGTACTTAAGAAGATTTCTATAAACATAATCAGTCAAGTCCGTTTATAAAAATAATTTATACGAATCATTAATTGTGTTTCTTGAGTGTGATTTTACTAAAGGACAAATAATTTGAATGATAAAGTAAGTAACAAAATAAAGAAAATGCCGCATTTCGTAAACATTTGATTTATTGATTCTTTTCTATTGTTAACTCTCAATATATTTTTATAAATACTTATAGTTACTTAAAATACAAAATTTTATGCTAAACATTAAAGTACAATATCAACTTAAAAATATCATAACTTAGCACATGCAGAACTTAAGTAAGCAGGAGAAAGTAGGACAATTAAGTTAATATTTTTCATCGATCAAGAACAACACAAACAATCAAAATTACAATTAATCCTACATATATTATAAAAACACGTTAGTCACTACTTTGTCTTTGTTAAAAAAAATCATATCAAAATATTATCGTATCTAATCTTCCATTACCTACTCACGTAATGTTGACAAAAATAAAAGCAACAACATAATATCACTAGATGGCATTACTGGACTAAATATTGCACAAATTAACTGGTCTTTGACCCTGATGTTATTGTAATGTCACTACTTAAGAAAAAAGTAAAAAAATATAAAATACAATTTTCTAATTTTATTGTACCGTGTAATCTCAGGGCTTTATGTACTTCTACAATTCGTTTACTCTACAACTTTAATGACTAGTTTAACCTCGATGCACTCAATGAAACAAATAATATCATTAGGCTTAGTTATACTATTAATTAATAATACTGGATATAATCCTAAGCTTAAAACCTAAATCCCTTGAATTAAGGAGAGATTTATTGCTAGATTTTGACCTCCTAAGGCAATTATGATATGGTCCATAATATTTTTCGGTCAAATGAAATACTAAATACTTTATTTACCTCTATAATTACATTTTTTTTTAAATGTTAACGTAAATTTTCTTTGATTAGTACTAATGTCTGTTATTAGATGTCGCTACTAGTAATTTCCTCTTCAAAATTAATTAAATTGTATTTCTATCTGAAAAAGGTATTGTGTAATATACTAGACCGAATAATATTAAAGTCGCTTTGCCTTGTCGTAACCTTGGTCTCTCAGTACAAAAAGCATTCTATTATAGAGTTTACAATTCACAGATCTCGTTGTCATCAGTGTCAGGTCTCAATTTGCTGACGATGAAGCTTACGATTCCTGACAGGACTGCTAACCCCACGCTGATGACACTCATAAACCAGATCGAGTTGCTGTGTAGCAGACATTCCCCGTTCGAGACGTACACGCATGTCATTTCTGTAGACAAAGAATATGAAGTTTAATCATATGCCCGAAAAGAAGAAAATCAAATCAAAAAATTCCTTCAGTCGCAATAAATAGAACAACAAGAACTCTGCGATGTAGACCGATACGGTAAAAAGAAAAGAGAATAATAATGTTATCTGTTACAATAAGAATCTCTTGACGATTTTAATCAAGAAATTAGCCTCGTAATGATGGAACATGGAATGGCTAATTATTGAAAGTATTAGTGAATTTAACTTTAAAAATACTTACGGCTGATAGTCATGTAGACAAAATGTCCTACAACAAAGGCCAGGAGTGAGACCACAGAAATACTGGCTCCCATAGCCGTCACCTTGTCAACTGCTCGCACTGATCGGAGTATCACCATGCCTTGCATTATGAAACCAGCTCCTGTAGACACAAAAGTACTTTGTTATAAGGAGATATAGAGTACTTTTGTATATTTAGATATAAAATGAAAAAAATAAAAACTTTGCCTTTTACCATCAAAGCTAAGAATTTTCAAAATTTTCTTAATAATTTTAAAGATGTAAGAAAGAAGTTTTTAACTGTTAAGGCAACTATTTGAAAACGAACACCAGTCTACAGAAATATTAATATTATTAATGATACTGACCTCCAACTGCTAACATGAGTACGAACTGCATCTGGAAAGTGGCGTACTTGGCCAGACAATTTTCCAACATGCATGAACCACGTACTGCGTTCTGTGCGCCTGCGCTACATCCACAGTCGTAGAACATTCTGCAAATAAACATTCACTAATGTTAACAAACATAGATCTTTTATATGTTCTATTTAATGTACGACAGCAGGTGAACCTATAGTTACAAACAGAACGAGATTTCTGACTCCTTGAGTTTATTTTAGCTGAGTATTTCAAATAGTAAAAACTGAAAGTATTTGACCCAGTCTGGGAAAGGACTATTTAGGACTAAGATTAGATTAGAATAACGACTTATTATTGGTTCTGAGGCCTAAGTATGTGTTCGTTTTACGTTTAAAGAATTCGAAAAGAGTACGCGTTCGGCACTCTGATTGGCTGGCGTCAATGAAGCAACCAATCAGAGCGCCGTTATACAGTTAAGTACTTAACTTATTTTACTGATGACAAAAAATAATTAAGAGTTAGTGAGTTTACTTACGAGATTCCGTTGAGATCCCCGATTCGGTTGCAACCAGCGTGGCATGGAGAGAAGTAAGTTTCCCTCGTCTCCAACATACAGACAGGGTGGAAGCCGTAACGCTCGGAGGTACATCTGAAACAATAACACATTAACATTAGCATATAAAGTATTTATAATGTGACTTAGATAATTTTAATGACGACTCAAAGATTTCCTCAGCAAATTTTCCCTTCAGCTAACTAGAATATACTAAACCAGGATATCACCATTGCAAAGTAAATGCTTTTATATGCTGTAGTGTAGTTTGGCTTCCACCTCGGAGCTCTGTCACTATTATTATTACTATCGCTGTTGGAAATGCCTACTTCCAGCATCGAATGGATATAGGATGATGATGATAAAGTCATCAAAATAGTAGTCGTGCTGTTAACTCACCCACAAGCTGAACTGCACGAGGGTTGTTCATAGTGGCCTGCCTCCAATCCTTTCATGATGCCAGTGTCACAACCAGTGAATGATATTAGAGTCAGGAAGACAGTCACAAAGATGGAAGCTTTAAACGCCAGAGCTGCTGCCGACTTCGTATTGAAAGGTTCAGGCCTGTTTGTTCCATTGATCTTGACGATCTGTGAAAGTAATGGTATTTTCAATTAGTTTAGTACTTGAAAGAACAATTTTCTTTTTTTTTCTTTTAAAAAAAGAAAAAAAAAGAAAAAGAATGCGTTAATCAGTGTTAACCACTTAATATAATTTCTTAAGCACATGTGCGATTCGTTTTCACACAAGCTCATAATAACTCTATTTTTCTTTCCCAGCAAAAAATACTAGTGAAATATTCGAATAAAAATTATCTGAGTTCTAAAAGACGGTCTCGCTTGAACTAAACTTTGTGCATCATAATTATCTAGGCGTCAAGTTTGAGGCTAATTCGGTAATTTAAAAAAAATAAGTGACGGAGTATTCAGTCTACTTACCATAACAAACATAACAAGAAGACCAGTTCTGAATATATTGAGCGGATCTCCTGTACTCCTGACGTCTGAGTTACGGGTCGCTTCTACATTGTATCGGCCCTAAAATGAAGATTGAATGATTAAATTTCCTGTAGACTTTTGCGTAAATGATGAATAATGCATAATGGTTAATCGTAATAATAAATGATAGAGATTTTGTACAAAAATAGATGATTACTTAAAATCTTTTGTTTCCGTGTCGTTATCATAATACTTATCAAAAACTTAATCAGCCATGTTTTCTGTTAATCATAAAAGTAAAATATTCGTACAATATGATTATATTTAATGAATAACACTTCCGACTTTTCTTGTAACAAATTACTTGGTTAACGGTTGCTTACCTGGGCGTAGGGTATTTCATATCTCGCGAACACGAGCACAGCAGTGCTCCAGAGAGACAAGGCTATGGTTTGTAGAATCAACACTTTGTTTGTAACCAGTCGCTTCAGAGTCGGGAACAGGCCTGAACAAGGAAAACATTACTTATAAATATAACCTAATGTAAAACACATTGTTATTTCGCCACCAATTCTAAATTAGAAGCTAAGTTTCTTGCAGATAGAGACAAGTCAAACGATTATTTCTCCATATTTCATTGGTTTTAGAACTTCTCTTATTAACTTCACATCATGTATCATCATAAAAATGTCCACAGAAAAGAAAAACAAGATCAATTGAGCACCAACGGCTTAAATGTTTCAGTTTGGTAGTAATAAATTACTTACCGGTGTCAATATTAGAGTTTTCAATGACATCCATTTCTTTTGAAGCCATCCTTTTGGGGAAGAGGCTGAAGATGAAGCAAACGAACAAAGTCACCATGCTGAGGATGAGCTGATTCTGCCACCAGTTGTCGCTTTGGGACGCCTTCTCAAGAATACCGTCACCATCCAATCCCAGGGTTATACGGGCAGTGATCAAACCACCTGGAATGGAGATAAATTTTGGTTAAGTCCAGTAAAAATGAACTAAAAATATATGTTTCATGTTTTGAAAAGCCTATTACCACGTGTGTTGAATGTGTGAAACAATAAGAAATCATAAACGACTGTTAAGTGGGGTAGCTAACATTGTAATTATTTCAATAGAGCGTATTATCCATGATAAGTTAAGTAGGTAACTCCTATTCTCAATGGGGTACACTTGTAATGGCGATGTGAAGAGTTTGTATTGAGAGTTTTGATAACAAGACACATGACAAAAGATATGACGTGATTGCATCTGTTGACCTTTCTGAATCTATGCATAGACAAGTTAGTAACGTTCCAGATTTTAATATATCTAGTTAATTACGTCTTTTTTGGTGAAATCTGAGCCGATATACCACTATGCACAAACTTATTTTTAATTTTCCTGATATATTCTGTTGCACTAGTAAAAATCCAAATAAGGGTAAGTCCCCATGTATCACGAACTTTCGAACGACTTTTAACACGAAGCATATTTTTATATGACTTACCGTAGAACTCGGGTCCATGAGTAGGGTTATGGTCATCTAAGTAAGTGAGGCCATGTGTCCAAATGCTGAGCTTGGTGAGTGCACATAGTATGATGGTGATGATGAGGAAGGTGGTCCTTGCTGCCAGGTTTTTATCACCTGTGTAGTTCACTTCTGCTTCTTGCCGACATAGACCTGCAAAATATGTTTAATTCAGTTGTGTTCATTTTGAAGATCGGTTTGTCAATCAAATGTTATGAGTTGATTGTTATGTTACGATCAAATATCAGGCGTAATCAGACTCTACGTTTTAATTCAGAATAAATGAAATCAAAGAATCTAAGCTTTCAAATTGGAGTATCGAATCTCAAATCGTTTTTTGGGCAGTAGCACTTGTTATTAACAAATTAAATATTGTTTACATCGTTTTGTTTGGTACCGTTTCCCTTTATCTATTTAATGGTTGTACTTCCTCATCAACTTACCCATGCTAACAGGATTGGTTTCAGCGTAAGGGAAGGCGAGCACCAAGAGCCCTGCTGCTGCGGTTAGTCCCAGCCAACCGGAGAGGGCTCGGTTCCTCTTGCCTTTTCCCCACCATGCCACCACCGCTCCCAGGAGGAACTCCACGCCAGCAGTTCCCATCCTTACATAATCTGGAATATATCATATTAGTTTAGATAAATATATTACAAGTAGTACCAAATTAGACTAGAAAGAGATTGAATTGTTTGCTGTAATTATTACTTCTTGCTCAAAAGGTTTTAGGGCATCAGATCATTTAATCCGTCTGGTTGTAATTATCTACATTATTATAATTATGTTACTCTAAAAAAATATTTCCTTATTTCATTTCTACTTGTGATAACGTTAATTTTTGTATTTACCTATAGTGAGAGTGGAGTGGTACCCCGCTCTAGCGTCCCTACGCAGCAGTAGGTACGCATTGGTTTCCAAGAACAAGATGAGCAGGTATGTTCCCTGTATAAATATATCAAACGCCTTCAGCTTCAACACATGCTTGCGCAGTACTGACAATACCTTTTGACAACCTGGGAACAAATATACATTGTTAGTTTTTTATGTGTTAAGAAGTAAACGAGCGGATGGGTTAGCTGATGGTAAGTGACCAGTGACGTCTATGGATACGAGCGACACCAGAACATATTCTTTTGTGAAGGAATGACGTGTGCGCTGCTTTCTTGAATATTTAACGGTTGAATTGGAGATTTATTTATAAGGAATCATGAGGCTAACAGCAAAGGAAGAAGATGTATAGATTGGGTGAAGAATGATATGAAAGAGACAGGAGTTCGTGATAGAATGACATCTGACAGGGATGATTGAGAGAACGGATAAAAGAAAGAAGAAGATATGTTATTACGTAATGTATGTATGTATAGGGTACCTCATGGAAAATATTTGATGACTAATTTATTGTTTTGGCGAAATCAAGACATGCTATTTAGATAAACCTAATCAAAGTTAAGGAGCGGAGAGTTCGATGCGTCACTTCTGTATTTACTTCATTATATAAATTTTGTAGGTGTGTTATGAGCGATATCATGCGATAGTTATAATCAATGTAAGTATCGTTAATTTTTGATTCCGGTAAAACACCATTACGTGTCCTATATTTTCCAAGGTAGATACCTATAATGGAAAAAGATAGTCATCTTATTTAATCTAATTTATCTTTTCCGTCGCAAGATTTCTTGCTAATGAGTTTAATAAATATGTTTAAGCACTCTATATTAGGTTACCAATTTGATAATTTTTAAATATAACAGATCCATGTGACGTCATAGTATAGTTAGAGTTAATAAACATGCTTGTGCACGTGTTTATATACACATGCACACGTGAACACACAAATCAGGGGTCTAATAAGAAATAACTAAATATAGCACGGAATTAGGGTGAATTTTTATTAGTAAGCACTAAGCATGTCTTTAAAATTACAATCTAATTTGAAATATAAAATCTCTACTAAACGTTCGAGTACTTACGAGTTTTTACGAGGCTGTAAGAGTCAAATGTAATCAGGCAGTATCTTCAACATGGTCTGATGTACATTTGGTGATTTTGATGATTATCTTAACAAGGTGGGGTAACAATATCTGTAGAATGACTGACAGTAGTTGGATGCAAGGAGAAGAAAGAGAAGAGATGAAGATGGAGTTGGGAACAGTACGCCCAGCAAACGGGACCAGACGAGTTATAAGAAGAATAATACACTAATACTTACACGCTGACGCCATCTTCAATTGTCTTTATCTTCTTAGCACTTAACAAATCTATTTTTAAATTATTTAAGATCTTATTTTCAATACAGATCGTTGAGATAAATTTTAATATCAGTTGGTATTACTTAATAGCTTTTCAAAACGACACTATTTCATAATATTATCTTACAAAAAAATCACAGATGATTTCCGTAATTAAACCTTTTCCGCAAACAAACTTAGGTATGTACCTAAGCACTTCTTTTGGAAAATTCGTGGTTTTGATATTTTCCGTTCCGCACTCGGAGTCTCTTTTTTATTTAGAGATGTGAATGCTAGAACGTGTGTCGTCAACTTGTGACTGTTGACTGTAGTTTGTGTCAATCGTTGTCTGTTTATATTGGCCATTGATTATGTTTATCAGATAAATGATAAAAGCCCGCGGTTAGTCATACTCCGGTACATACGTAAGTTTTTATTAATCTTCCAAAATATAGGTACCTACGATATGTTATCAGAAAATTCACAATCTCACCGGAAAAGATGGCATTGTTTCAGTAATGGTTTTCTGACTAGCTTTTTGCTTGTGGTTTTCTTCTGTGACATATTTATATTTTTATGGCATATTGGGTAAACGAGCAGGCACATAACACATGATGGTAAGTCATTCAGAGCAGTTCAGTCCAATACCAGAGGAACAATTATAGGTGCCTCATAGGATTTTTAAAAGAGCGCTCTTTTCTTCGGTTTTGGTGGCGTAATGAATCAATTCTTGAAACTTACTGCTTTTTTGTTCCATAAGGTTGTCATTGGCTAGCCGTTGTTGGAGTTAATAGTCTATAATACTAACATTTCAATCAAAATTATGTGCGAAAAATAAAATATTGGTTTTGTATGACCTTAAATGTATGAACTTTAGCTACTAATATTTTTATCTACAATCAATTCTTCCTATTATCTGAATAATCTAATTAATGCATTTTATGCTACCTACATACAAGTAACTAGAAATTTTAATAGTCATGTTATTAGAAAACATTAAGAACAAAATTAACAAACAATAACAAATGTTATGTAAGGATTTATTTTGTGAATAAAAAACTTAAATAACAACTATTACATAAATAAAATTAAAAAATATATAAAATTAAATAATAAACAATAACAATGTACTATTTTATGCCTATATATGTACCTAACAGTACTTAAGTACAGATTTGTGAATGAACTCGTCACTGATAGGGTTCCGATTGAGAATTATTTATCGGAACTGGAAACATTAGGTGATGTGGGCGTTTCTCTGAAAATAGGCATTACAGTCACGAGTCACGACCTCATAGTTACATTTATTCAAGGCAATCGTAAAGTCATTCACTGAATCGTGAAAACAACGTTTTTTCTCAGAATATTATATGACATTATTTTTTATACTTCAGTACTATAAGGATAAAATAACTGTTTCAATAATTTCACATTTGACTTAGGACAAAATATAAATTGGACACAACTTTAGACTCTGTAAGACCTTTTCTAGAAGATCTACTGTTGCACATTGATGTGCAGAGGTGGATATGGTTCGGCACGAATTCGACCAGAGTGATAAACCATTAACTCGCCTACGCAAATGTTCTTTGGGTTGGTATTGTTCGTCGAATCAGTCAGCCTCACCTGTTAATTGAGCTGACTGTAAACCGACACATGCGTACTGCCTTCAGAACGGGTCCGCTCAAACTGTTGTGGTTCTTTCCTCAAAAGCCCACTACAGAAAGAACTGGCACGGTTCTCACACATAATCTGTTATACATATTGTCTGGACTTTAAAAGAGACAGACCTCTGAGTTTGTTTCGGCATTTCTTCTCAGAGTAGTCAGTTAGGAAATGTCGACCTCATCGTTCGCTT